CGCCCCGATTTATGTCTTAAAAACTTTGCGTCCTTTAAAAAAAGGTAATTGGGTCAAAAATAAATGAATCAGTTTGTGCACACACTGCTAAAGTGAAGGGAAATATAATAGTATGAAGGCAACTCTATTGGAAAAGTTAATGTCCAGTCTTCCAATTATTAACACAATTAATCTTTCTTACTATGATTTTAGAATACTAATAAAATTATTAAATTTAAAACTAGCTTCAGATGACTAAAGTGTTTAATTAGAGGGTAGGTAGATTTTATGTACATAATTGAAGTTTCAAGTTGAGAACTAATTTTCTAGGGAATTAAGATTATTTATAGTCATTGACCAAATTCATGAGCCTGGAATCTGGGTGGCAATTAGCAAAGAGAAGCTGGTGCAAATCAAAGACAAATAGGATGTCTCTGTGTAGAGTTCTTAAGAAAATACATGATCTCCTCATGAAATGAAAAAGATCTCAAATCAAAAACAGAATCACTGAATGTTAGAAACATGATCAGCATATATGAAATGCAGCACTATTTATTGAACCAACAGAGGCTGAGAATGAAGGATGAAGCAGAACATTACAGATAAAACAGGTTTGGATGGCTCCCTTCACGCAGGTTACAACCTGGTGAGAAAACTGAATAAAGAGTTCAATACTTTGATTCAATACTTTGAATAAGAGGTATAAGTATTCAAGAGGATTTCAAAGCTATGGTTCAGTGTGACACTTAGCTAGTAGAGAAGGCTTTGTGAAATAAGGAAGACACAACCTGGCCAGAGAATTAGGAAACTTTATCCAAAGGAGTTGGAGGGGATGGTAAGCTTCCTGATGTATGTACATAGCTAGTAGGTTCAAAATGAAAATGACAGGATCAAGGGAAAAGCACACTGGCAGTGATGAATACGAAGAATTGAGGAAAGTGAGATGAACTCAAGCCGATGGACAGGAGTGCCCACATCCAACATCAATAAGAAGGTAAGCTGCCATGCCTTTGAGGCTCTTAGATTTTACTTTAAAAAATGATTTTTACCTTGTGTATTGATTGCTAAATTATGTAACTGAAGACAGATTTGGCTCTCTAAGGCCAGATTATATATCAAATCACCAAAACAAGCAAATGAAAAATTCAATTAAGTATGTGGCTTTCAGAGTTGTTTTTTTCAAGATTTTTTTTAGGAAGAATGTCTTTATTATGAAGTTTTGGCATCATTTCCTGAGCAAGGAACTCTAAGACAGGGATACGTTTTATTGTGTCTTTTAGAGCACAGAGTTTGTGAACTTAAGGGGTTTTGGCTTGGGCGTAATGAAAATGCACTTGAATTATTTGTGACATTATTTTCCCTCTATCTGGCTCCTATGTATTATGGACCTCTAACAAGTAAGATTAGCTCTTATTCCTTGAGAAAAGTGCTCACATATTTCAAAATCACTTCTAAGAAATGCTGTACCCCTCACCCACTTCCTAAGGAAATGTCATTGTTTTTTCCTCTGAGCACAGGAGCCTGCCTAGCCAGACTTTTTTTTTTTTTTTAACATTTTCCATGATGATAATTAGGTGATGCTGATGAAAGTAACGTGTTAGAAGATACATCTCAAAAAACCCCAAATCCCTAAATTATTACCATAACAACAGATTGTTGGAAGGGAAAAGAAAGACATGCTGAGTCTTTTTTGAAAAAACTAACTAGGTGTTCCCTGCTTTTTTTCCCTACTATTATGACGGAGTGAGTCTGTACTGGATCTGGATAAGATCACATTACTGCCCCCTCAGGACTCCATTTTCTAATCTTTAAAATGGGTAGATAAGTGGATTGTTGGAAAGGTAAAGTGAGATGAGAAGGGAGCTAGTACACTGACAAATTTTTAAATAATCTGTTTCCATATTGAATCATATTCCTGGAAACTGAGATAAAGAGAGGGAGACAATTTGAGGTCAGAAAAATTGGAGTTTTTACCAAGGCCCAGTTACTTACTGATTTGTCTGTGGTCCTTGCCATGCAGACCAAGCAGACTAATGCAGTGCCTACACTTCACAGAAGGATTTCTTAACAATTAGCATTTTCATAAATCTCCAAACAGTCCCCATGAGGTTGATTCTCTGTTATAATATCTACAGAGGAAGCTGATACCCACAGTTTAATTTGAATAATGGGTTCACAATTTAATTGCAATCTTTTGGGCTTGACTTAGTTCTGATTATGTATAAAAACCTTGCTGTAAATACTCTTCTGTCCAGGTAAAGCCTGAGTTTTTAGGCTTAACCTAAAACTATCTGCATGGTTTGCTCCTATTCTCTCTCTGCAGAATGTACTGTAAGCTCCCTGGTCAGATACACATAAAAATAGTCATGATACACATTTTTGGTGGAGTAATGGTTATTAGGCATATTTTTAAATGATGTATATTTGTTAGTATTTCTATGTACATATGCCTTTGCAGTTAAAATATGCTGTTTAACATGTTTGCATCAACATGAAAATGAATCACAGTGATATTTTGGAGGCATGCTGTTTGCAAGTTAAATAAAGCAAACTATCCACTCAGTCAGACAATGTGTTTCTTTCGCCTCACTTTGCATTTGGATGCGAAACATGCAGTTTAGTTCATTCAACCTGGTTTTTCCAGTGCTTTGTTCCATCGTCCAAGCTGCTGTTAATATAAGTGTAGCTTCTCATCTTCAGAACATGATCTTGTTCCTGCCAGGGGTGAATTCACTTAAGGTTTATCTCCACTATTTCATGTCACTCCCACCCACATCGAAGTATGCCGATGATCTATATAAGTGCTTTACAAACAAATCCTTTCTTTATTCTCATGGTCCCTGGCTCCTCATAAACTCATGGCCATCCCAGCAGATAATTTCAAGCCATGTTTCAGACTTTCCATAGAACTTCTCCTCTGCCATTTTTTATTAAAAGACTGAGCTCCTTTTTCTCAGCAAATAACCATGTAATCCCCCCCTTTTGGTTTTCTATGTCTTAAGACAAGTCCTAGCAGTAGTGGGTCAGCATTTGCAAAGCCCTAAAATAATCCCACACAGGTTGCTGTCACTTGATTCCTCCTGCCTGCTGTTGTGGGGAAATGCAAACTAATTGCAATCAGCAAAATTTGGACAGACCAGTATTTTCAGAAAATATGCTATTGTCATTAAAATAAATGTCCAGATAATAAAACATACTGATGACAAAACTGAAACAAGTCTAAATAGAAATTATTTTTTAAACCCCCCTCTTTTTAGTGAGAAATTCTGTTAAAATACTTTCATTTTCCTTATTGGTATGGGGGTACCTCTCCTAGCAGTCTAAAGATTCCCCCCAAGACTTTGGCAAAAAAGAAGAGAACTTGACCTCACTGGTGGCGCAGGGATTAAAGGCAGTGCTATCAAGCTATCAGCAGCCATTGCAGAATGAGTTTGATCCTGGAACAAACCCACATGGTGCAGCAGACCTCTTCTGCCTTGCCTGCTGCTTCCCTCAGAAGTGTGTTTCTGTAGATCTGCCTGTTCTGCTACCTACTCTGTCTCTGGTGAATCCTCTCATCCCCCACACCTCTGACCTACACCCCAGCTCTTGTTTGCATAAATAAAAATAAATCTTTAAAAAAAAGAGAACAATTTCTGGCATCTGCAATCAGACATTCTTTCAAGTTGTAGAAACTCTTCAAGGAGCAGGGATGCCTGTGAAGATGTTCAGGAGGAAGAATAGTTGTGGGGCAGCCAGGGGGCTCTCCCTGGGTTGGCATGTACCAGCAGACACACCTCCGCCAGGCAGCTGGTGTTGGCACCCGCCAGTCTCCTTCCTGCTAAACCAGGGAATGTATTCAGCACGGGGACCGGGCACTCAGCATCCTCAGGGATGCCAAATGCGTCCACTTTTAATGAGTTTTTCTGCCTTTAATTTATTTAGTTCAGTGAGCCCTGGTTCAACAGTTTGGCAACTGTAATTCTCTATTTTAAGACCAATTCACACAGAGAAATAGGAAAAGAGGCTCTGTTCAGTGAATGGGAGCACCCAAGGGTTTCTCTGCAGTTATTCCAGGTACCCTAATTTAATCATTGTGGAAACAACCTGGACTTCTCCAAATAAAGTTAATTTTTATGAAATAACATATAAATCACTTAGTTTATACTGCTGAAATGTAGTCATTTTAAAGAGAATGTTTCTGCACACTTTTAAAAATTGTTTTACTTTAATTACATCTTAAAACTGGGAAGCATGAGGTAATGAAGCAAAGACAAAAGAAAAATGGGATGGGAAGTAGAGGAACAGGATTGAGCTCTCCTAGTTTGTTAGCTTGCCCACTTAGGTGAGGAACATCCCTTCTTGGTTTTCAGTTTACTACTCTGTTAAATGAAGACCTAGAGAAGATGTGTGAAATTTTGAAATAATAGCATCCAAAGCCTAATAAAGTAGGGATGTGGCTGTCACCTAGTGAAGCTGAAACTGAGAAAGTCATCAGACCAATTGATCTTGAGTAACTGGACCCATTTCCATGTAGTGGTATGAGCCATGCATGTTTATCAGAGGAAATGAAACCCACAGGTCTACTTAATTTATTGATGCATGCAATGCATTTGTAATCCTGAAATGCAAAACTTGAAAGGGTAGATGAGGTCAATATGATAGTGTGAATGGCACTAGAACTTTGATGGTGGGTACAATGAAGTATAGATATTTATTGAGATGTGAAGCTGTGCTCCTGAAATTTATATATTATTATAAACCAATAAAATTGTATTTAAACAATAAAATAATTGGAAGGATAAAACCAAAATGGAGTGCTAGGCACTCACATTTTCTGCTTAATAGTCATAAAAAAGAAAAACTAACACAAGAAAACATACCAAGTATACTTGATAAATAATTGAAACAGATGAAAAAATTTAATCTTCAAATTGGTATTTGGATTGATTTTTGAGGGAGGGATGTCCCCAGTGCACTCCATAGCTCCAAAAGCAAAGAACATCCCAGTGCTTTTGTATTTAATTAAGAAAGCTAGTCCTATGCCCATTTCACTGATCTGCTTTCATTCATATAGCTTTATTTCTTATGTGCTATAAACATGGTTGAAGATGACTTAGCAGTATAACTAGATAGTAATGCTGCCATTCTCCTTCAGACAAATGAAAAAGAAAAGAGAAGAAAAAAGCTGGTTCTGATCACGCCCCAGCAGACTCCTGCACTGTCTTAGCAACAAGTATAACTGAGGATACTGCTCCCTTTATGGGCACTCATGGGCACTCTGCCTAAGGACCAGAGGGAAGCCATCTTAGAAAACAGAACATTTTGTTCACTCATGTGGTTATCACATGGTCATCTGCATTGAGTGTCCACCAAGGATAAGAGCCCAGATGGAGTAATGATTGCAGCTAACTGGAAAGTATTCAGAAGAATTCAGTTTAGAATATATTTTTTTAACCCTAATATTTTTTAGCTATGTTGAGAGGAGGAAAATGTAAAATAAAAAGAGTTAATAGTGCTTTTTTAAGTAATACAAAGGGAACTTTGAGGATTAATTTAAACTAGTGTTTTCATATCTTGAAAGTATATGAAAACAACGAACAAACATTTCCACTGAGTACAAAAGAATTAGAAATGGCTTTAAATAGAACCCATAAGGCAATCATAGGAGACAACCAGGGTAGATGCTGGGGGAAGACTGTGGGGAGATGTTGCCTAAACATGTCTCCCTGCCTTCCATCAATAACTGACTTTCTCCTCAGGCTTCTCTTTCCTGTCCTGTGGATGGTGTGTATTCTCACCCCTGAATGGTGTCTGGTGAGGTCTTAAGCTCCGTGGGAAGACTTACAGAAAAGCAATTGGCATGCACTCTCTCCTTTGTGGGCTGATGCCAGTATGAATAACACCAATGTGGAGGCCTCAATAGTAAGAACAAAAACAGAGAGTTAATAAGAAGTGCCAAGAATGTAGAGATATGGAGAGCCCCCAGAGGTCAGCTGGGACTCTGCCTGAGCTTACCTATTTGCTCTGGCCTCCTAATGATGCAGACATAGCTGTATAGGGGCACAGACTGAGCTGTTCCTGAAGGTGAAATGTGGGAGACAGTTGAGAAGGAAGGAGCTTCATCCAAGAGTCTCTGGAGGTGGCTTAGAACCTGCCTGCTTTTACATTAGTGACTGGGAAGGATGAATTATCTTGCCCTTTTTCTACGTTAAGGTTGCCAACCTCTGGGGTGCTCTGACAGGTAGATCTGAGTTGCACTGAGCAAGTAAAACAGCATGCCACATACCTAAGAGGAGTCCACAGTGCAAGAAAGAGAGAACAGTGGCAACAAAGCACATACTCTCTTAGTGAAAGAGACAATCCAAGCTTTGCACACAAAAAAGGGTTTTCTCGAGCTAAAATCATAATTTCTCAGAGAAAATATTTTCTACATGAATTACAAAAGAAGATTTTCATTGAATTTCTAATTAGAAACCTGGAAAACCACATGTAAAAAAAATACCTCAACTCAAAGAGCAAAATGGTAGAGTTGAAATATAGGCAGAAGAGACCGAAAAAACAAGCCCAAGAGAAGACTGAGAATTAAGAGAGAAGACTGAGAATTAAGAGAATTCTAGAAAAAAAAAGAAAGAAAGAGACTTCTGAAAAATTTCTCAGATATGCCTCAGGTAAAGAAAATAACATTATGAATTTTGAGAAATAAAAAAGCAAGTGAAGAAATATATATAGGAAAATTCTGAAACATCCTAAGCCTACAGATCACAGGGGCTCCTTTCAAATATACTGAAATAACATTCTGAAATTATACACTAGAATTGTTCATCATCTTTGAGACTAAAAGGTGCTGTAAAGATGTGGTCATTTGGAAAATGAATCAGTCTTATGCCCCATCTGAAAGAACTCTTGAGAATACTGATGCTAATAGCTAAAACATCTACCTGTAAGTTCAGATGGGGCAATAAATAGATTTTCTGAGACTGCAAGCAAAAGTGAATGCTACATGATCATCTGGGAAAATATTAGTTTATAATTTAAAGCACTAGGTAATAAGAAGAGGGACATGGTTATTCATATGTGCAAATAATACTGACCTAAGTAAAAAAACAAAACAAAACAAAAACTAAACTGCTAAAGTGTGATATTTTCATCCTCTTCTCTAAAAATTAGTTTTAAAAGAGAAAATTTATTCCATTTATTCATATGTTCCTAGAGAATTTACAAAATCAACAATACTTCTTTGCTAAAATGACTGCCTAAGTCTTTTTTTTTAAATAAAACTTTTATTGAGGTCATTCTGTGAACAAGAACTAATGATCAGAAGTAATTAGTAACACAAAGAGGCCAAAAATCAGAACCCCTTTGCAATTAAGAAGTACTTACCTAGACAGAAAACTCTTGGATAAAAGAGAAAATCAAAAAGAAAATTAGAGTTACATAAAAAAATGATGAATATTCTTCATAGCTAAACCAATGGAACAAAATGAAAGCAGTCCCCAGAAGGGAGAAAAAATGATATGAAATATCATCATCTTTTACCAAGAAAGTAAAGGGATAAAGGGAGTTTGTGCTCATCCATAGAATATAGATTAAAAACTTCAACAAAAACAAATAGGAATTGGAACTTCATAATAAAATATGAAATTAATGAAAACAAAGGTAATAGAAAATTTAAAATTCATATCTAATTTGGGTCAATGTAAAGATCTTTGTGGCTCAGGAGCATGTTTAAAGGAAAAAGAGAAAAGACAAATATATACCAAATTTTTAGTAGAGATAAACAAGAGCTAACCATAGACTAGTCATAGAAGTGATTAAAGTAGACATAAATATATATGTATATGGAACTTTCTGACAAGACATTTGGAAATTTAAAGGAAATGGATGATTTCCCAGCAAAATATGTATTGCCAAAATTCACCCAAGAAGAAAGGAAGGAGAAACTTAAATACATCAGTTACCATAAGAGAGTTTAGAAAAAGACACTTAAAGATCTACCATTGAAACAGGCACCGGGAACAGATGGATTCCCAGCTGAGGTTTATGTAACATGAATTTTATATAACCTTAAAGAAAGAGAGCTTTTCAAAGTTAAATTATTCCAGGCCTTAGAAAAAAGATGAAAGACCTCCCCAATTCATTTTACAAAGGCAATATAACTCTTTTGAAAATCTGATAAAGTTAGAACAATAAAGGAAAACTGCACACAGATCTGATTTATGCATGCAGATTAAAAAATTACTAAAGTATTGGTAATTGTATTCTAGAATTATTTTCCTTATCTAGTGAATATTTTTTTGAACACCCAACATGTCCAGTGGCAACAAATAAAGTAAATTAGATAATATATAATTAATATGTTAAGTGGTGATAAGCGAAAAGGAGAAAAATTAAACGAAGAATGTAGAGTGAGTTCTGTCAGAAGGAACTGCCGTTTAGGGTGATCTATTTAGATTTGTCAGAGAAGGCGCCTCCAGGTTATCCGTCAAGAATGGAAACAGATGAGAAATCAGCTGTGTGTGGTTGAGGGGAAGGGTAGAGACTATCCCAGGCAGAGGGAAAAACCAGCAATAAATCCTAAGGAGCACTTTGAAGATGATGTACCTGAATACAAATTAATGCAAAGAGATTGCAAAAGATGTGGTCAGAGAGGTACCAGGGGAAGCAAGGGTAGAAGTAGGGAAACCAATAGGAGATTTTCTGTGCAATAATTCAGACCAGAGCTGATGATGTCTCAGATTAGGGTAGCTATAGAATGATGTGACTCTGGATATGTCTTTAAAATAGAGTCAAAAGAATATCTTGATGTATTAAATTTGTGATGTTAGGATAATAATGAAGGGGTAAGTATGACACCAGGGATTATGATTTGAAAAATAAAGATACAACCAAAAAGTGACCTTAAAAGATTGTGGGATCAACTAGTCTGGGCAAGGAGAGGTTATCTCTATGTTTTGAAGATGTTAAGTTCAAGTTGCCTATTAGACACCCACATGGTATCACAGACTGTTGGCTACAAGAGAACTGAGTGGGTAGGGAGAGTTGCTGATTGGAAATAAAAGATATGGGAGTCTTGAGCTCCATTTGTTTCCAAAAGCTATGAGATTGATGAAATTTTCAGTTGACAAGGAGGAAGTCCCAGGAGTCATCTAAAAGTTGAGAGTTGTTGCAATGGAGTGCTGGAGGTCAGAAACTTAATCAGAGAGAGTTCATTAGAGAATGGGAAGATATTAATTGGAGAAAGGAAATAAAAAAAGGAGTTTTTCATAAGAAAGTAAGAAAATGAGGCAACAAAAGTAAAGAAAGATACAATCAAGGTTGTGATTTTTATTTTTAGCAGGGAAATCACAGCTTATTTGTATATTGATTTGAAAGATTAACCAGAAGAAAGAGGAACATTCTGGAGCAAAGAACAGGCTGGAGGGAATATGCACCAAAGGTGATGCAGCTTGGCTGAGTGACAGGAAGGATGGTGAAGATGCCAAGGTGATCAGTATGTGTGTGTGTGTGTGTGTGTGTGTGTGTGTGTGTGTGTGTTTGGGGTGGCCTGTGTACATCCTCTTCAAGTCATCAACCAGAGCTGAGAGTCAGGGAGAAATGGTACAAATTTGTGAGAAGGGGGAGTGGAATCGGAGAGTAATGGGACTATTCCTGGCAGACAAGAGTATACCACAGGAGTGTTTCTTTTTCTCCAGGAACAATCAACTTAATGGGTGTGGGTTGGACTAAGCAGAAAGATGAATCACTGTTGATCATGTGGATGCTTTATACAAACACAAGAAAATTAAAATAAAACATTAAAAAGATGATTAATAAAATTCCTCCTTAAAACCTTAAGTTTAAAAAGGAGTGGTGTAAGCTGCTAGAATAAAGTAACTTTCTACAAAACACCTGGAATTGTTTTTCTGAAGTGCAAAAAATCAATTTTAATTAAAATTAGATGTTATACATAAACCCCTATTATTACCATTATAATTTAATGTGGTCTTTAAGGATTTAATTATTATAATTAGATAAGGAATTTAATAAATGGTGTAAAGTTTTCAAAAGATAAATATTTCTTTTTATGACATGATTTTATAGCTAGAAAACCCAAGGACTCTTTACAATTAGATTAACTAAAGAATATCATAAAGTAAATGGATATAAGATAAATACACACAT